GTAGAAATAGAGATGAACTTTTTCTCTGGTGACGTCTGCACAACTCTTGCACCCCAAGGCTCCAGCTCCACCTTTTTCATCCTGTCTGAAAACTCTTGCTGTGACACTGAGTACTGAGCTAATGACTGATGAGCCCTTTGACACGGAAATGTCTGACACGCTCCTCGGTACCTAGACTAAAGACTTCCCTAACAAGCACTCACACACTCACCAAGGGCCATATTAAATCCAAACTTTGGCACCTTTCCTAATTATGGAGAACATACCCATAGCCAAGGGCCTCGTCCTAACCTACGCTGAACTCTCCTCTACAGTGTTCCTGGACTATGGAATGATATATGAAATGCAGAATTCAAATTAGGCTGACAGAGAGCAATTATACAGCAGGCTGTAGGATCTCTTACTCATTGGAGACAGTGTCAAAACCCACATAAACATTTTAAACCAGATTCAAAGGTGGTTTTTCTTTCTACAGCACACACCTCTCGCTTTGTCTTCTTAGCTTCCTCTTCATCACATGCATGTGACGCTTTTATGCTCACCAGAACATGGGTCTATGGTAACTCTCCATCTGTCTTCCTGGATCGCTTCACAATTCAAATGTTACCCCTTTGCTGTGCTCTCATTACTTTCACTCTATTCCCATCCCTCCACCCTGCCCACCACCTTTTTCCATGTGTGCTGTGCTACACGTGCATTAAGAATGAATGGTTATTTTCACTGCGTTGCCATCAGTGGGGTCTAATTTATGAAGCCCATAGACTGGAGAGGCCTATTAAAAGCCTATTTACAGTCAAACGGCAGGATCACCCAAAGCAGTGACAGTGCCTTAACTGTTGTGAACATCAACCAAATGTTTACGAGGCCACTCTTCTTTCCATGCACCGCAGAGGCACTGGCGGGTAAACAACATGAGACAGTTTGATGTTCTGATGTGGAATCATGAGTTGCATTTGCCCGAATTTATTGTAATGTGAAACACGTCCACAAAAAGGTTTTTATTGGTCAGACGAAAGGTTCCAACAGCAGACAGAGGGAAAAAAGACATTATGTATGACTTCCTCTGCATTTATTGACAATGATCACTCTGTATTTGTAGCATCCATGAATCAATCAATGCACCCACTCAGCCATCTGTCTGTTCATTCACTCCGTCTATAGACCTGCTCCTCCTAATTAATGAATAGCAAACCAGGCAGCAAGGTAAGTTAATAGAAATGTGGAGACCATTGTGATGTTGGGAGATGTTGTTGATTGTGCTCTGATGAACTGGGTTAATTATTGTAAGTGTCTTTGCAGAATTAGTTGGAATTAATTGAAGCCTATGTGTAGCATCAGTCCAATGAGTTACTCAACGCCCTTTCACTGTGTCTCTATCTGCCACCATCGCCTGCTCTAATCAACTTGTCATCTTAAAGTGTGATCCTTTTTTTTTTTTTTACATCTCACACTATTGGCTTATCAGTTCCCTTTCTCTTCACATTATAGCAGAATATCTATGCACTGATGTGATGCACTTGGAAAATCAATTATAACTTGGTGAGGCACATTTCCACACTTATCTTTACTTCTTCACTTCCTTCCCTATCACCTTGTTTGTGTGCGAGCACGTCTGAGCCATCACGTGGGCTTTGTGTCTTGTGTTCGCTACAGGACATCTTTGTGGGTTAAGCACCAAATTCAATCTCGGCTCCCCAATCAGAAGTAGTAAAAACTCATCCGTCAATGCAGTCTCAAAGAAGGAAAAAAAAAAAAAAAAGAGAGATTCAGCTCTGCTTGGTCGGATAAATCTTAGTAGCTCATCCTTTTCCTATTTTCTTTTCATCCCGGACCCCCCAGTGGCCCGCATTAGAGTCCGCAGAGGGCCAGTGGAGATTTAGAAGCTGCAATCCATCAATGTAATGTAGGCTGAACCACTGGACAACCGCCGTGCTAACCTCTCTACCAGCTGGACTGTACCTCTTCACTACAGGCCTGCTCCAGCCAAGCCTGGCAGCCTTGAGTGAAACTTTGGCCCGTGTTAGGGCTCTTCCTGCCCAGTCACAAAATCAGCTCCTTTTCTGATTCCCCAACATAATTGCACATAAACTAAGCTGCTCCCATCTGACAAAGCTGTCTACAAAGAAGAAAAGAAAAAAGATATGAGTGCTGCAAATCTGACCATAAATGTTAACCAAACACATGGTTTGCAATAATTATACAAGGCATCTGATTAGGTTAATGGGTCACAGTACAGGCTATTATGATGAAGACCCCTGATTTGACAACAACATTAGGTTACATGAAATGACCTTATGTTTTTTCCTTACCTCTTAAAGCTTGAGGCCAATGCTTGATTACTAAAATTGTTTTGGACATCCATTTGTAACATTGTTAGTAATGAACAAAAGTCAGTTGGTCTGCGAAATCATCTTTTTTTGTCCTTTTTCCAGAAAACTCCATGCAAATGATCAATTTTTGGTTATATCAAACAACAACAGTAAATAATACTAAGAAGATCAAGGAGGATCAAGCCTGGTAAATTTATTATTCCAGAAAAAGGCACCTAAATATACATTTTGGATAATGTACATTTTGATTATAAATTACGTTAATATGTCAAATGGTAATCCATGTTTGATTTTGTAGTCTCTCTCTCTCGCACTCTCTCTCTCTCTCTTTATTTTTTTGAAGCACACAGTTTACCTGAATCGCAAAGTTCCTGTGGATATTTTTGTCATTAATGTGACATCATATGAACTTCCATGCAACAATGTAGAAGAGTTGTTGCAAGACAAATCTTGACTTCAACAACACTGTGCATATTTTAGTTAATATATGGTGTACAAAGTGTACCAACTTTTTTGATAGTGTGGTTTGTCATTTTCCCAAACGCTGCCTTTTGTCTGTTTTGATCGTTTGTTTGATGTCTGTTACCAGTAAATCAAAAAGGTAAAATATAGTGCAATTTTGTTATTTACAACAAAGCAGAGTATGCGGTGCTTCCAGGCATCTGCTACCGTGTGTGTGTGTGTGTGTGTGTTTTATTTAGTAATGCACTGATTTCTTTTTAGATAAAGCCAATTAAAGTCATAAATTACTGGCGGCATTTTAATCCAGAGGTATTTCTTCCTGGGGGCATGAACATGTACCTACATCTGTCCAGCCCAGAACATGTCTCCTGACAAGCTGTTTGTTTGTTGGAACCACCACCACATTTAACCTTGATACATCTCCACAGGCGCCTCCTGGAAGCTGGATTGAGTGTATTTTCTTCCCTGTGCGATGAGCTTCTGATATTATGCCCCAGCTATTGTTCACCAGCAATGACTTTTGTTTTATCTGATGTGATCTGAAGCCACAGAATCATTTATTTTGGGGAGGGGTTGCAATGTGATGTCTTCTATGCATCCCCATTTCTAGGATTGATAAGGGCCAATGTACCATTTGGAAAGAGAGCCGTGAAACCAGCAGACCTTCTTTCCCTTAAAATGAATGGACTTCTTCGTGTTCCAGGCTGTCTGATAGACACACAGTGAGATTGGTTCTGTTGAATAAGAGATGAATTTCTCTGAGTGTCACCACATTGCTGCGACCTCTGAAATATCATTATCTACAGGCTATGAAGGTTAACTTCACTAATATAGCCTGAATTCAAGAGAGGGCCACCTCAAGTGAACACGGCTGTTTTATTACTGGCATATCTCAAGAACAATTGTGATTTTTTTTCTTTTTGCACTAACACTATATGCAGTATGTCAGAACACTCCAAAAGACATCAGTTTTTCACTGGTGTGATATGCAGCCAGAGGCATAATTGTAATGTTTCATTTTGCAATTACAGTGGATAAAAATGTAGGAAGATAATCATGTACGTAAAGTTGAATGAAGTTTTTTTTTTTCCTTTGCCATGTCCTTGATGATGACAGATGATACAGTATTTAGTGTTTTTTTCCTGAATTCCCATCAATGTGCTGCCTAATCAGTATTTTGTCCAAAGACTTGACTTTAAATTATTTTAAGACTCATTTAAATTTGCTTAATTATACTTTATAATGAGAAACCAAAAAAGAAAAAAACAAAAACATAACAATTAATGAATGAAATAGCTCTAACAACTTAAACTGCAGCCTACATCTTGTAACCCTATTACATATGATGTGATTTTAAATGCACCTTAATGTTACCTGGAAATTAATAACTTATTCACACATAGTTTGGAAATATTGCTTCATTCATTCATATTTCACATGGGCTCCGAAACAGACTAAATTAATTATTCAGTTAGAGTGGATTGGAACTAGCTGCAGGCATCTCTCCAGTGGCGCTGCGTTAGCTGGAAAAACCGAGAAGCAAAGATGATTTTAAAGCATCTCCTTAAGAGTCCAAGTCCCTGAAGATGGTAGACTGAGGGATTATTGTTTGTTTTTTTATTTGTTTTTTTAATCATACTGCAGCTGAATCCAATGTAAACTGAGAAAATGGGTTTAGTAATGTTGCGTTTGATAAAAGGAGATTTGTATTCTTATGCACATTTTTTGTCGAAAATTTTGTTTGTCTTTAAAATAGAGTTTGCTTTAAAATATGCATAGTACCAGTAACCATAAGGCCGTGGCCCAAATTTTGGCCGCCAGTTCCATTTTGAGGGCCGCTAAAAAAAAGAAATGTTATATATATCTATATATTTGTATATATGTTATGTTATATATATATGTTATGTAGGCTAGCTGTAGCAAAAATTATCGAGAAGTTTTTGAAACAAAAAGAAGACATTTTTGTGTAGGTAAAATTACAAATTCATCAAATCTAATATTTAATGGGCTCTGGATCACTTTGTACTGTAAGATTTGGGACTCAAGGTTAAAAAGTTTAAGAACCTCTGGTCTAGAGCACTGATACAGCCTCCCCTAAAGCTGCTGTGTTTTAAAGTGGGGAAGGTGTTCTATGGGTTACATGTGTCACATTTACTTTCTAAGTAACCTCTAAGTAACTAATGTGCCTTGTATGTGTCTCTCTTTAAGGGATGCTCACAGTTGCACCCAAAGGTTTTCAGTGTCCTGATGCTGAGAAAAACTGCAACCCTTGTCTGGATGCAGCCAAAGCCTGCAACCTCAACAACAGCTGCAAAAAGCAACGCTCCAGCTACATCGCCATCTGCAGCAAGGGTGAAACCTGCAGCAAGAGGCGGTGCCACAGAGCCTTGAGAATGTTCCTGGACCGCGTGCACCCCGAGTTTAGCCACCGTCTGCTCTTCTGCCCCTGCCAGACTGAGGGCTGTGCTGAACGTCGCAGGCAGACAATCGTTCCCGACTGCTCCTACATAGAAGGGGAAAAACCCAACTGTCTGGAGCTACGGAAAATCTGCCGCCAGGACTCACTCTGCAGGTAAAGTAAAGCCTGTGGTGTCCTGTGCTGTGTTTATGTGCAGTGGGTTATTGATTTTCAATGTCTATGCATGTCCAGTTTATTAGTTTGATTGGCAGACATTTTGTGCCGTGGATTTGACTTGATTCCCTGCCGAACACATCTGAAGATTCTTCATCCTCACTCCATTCATGGAGAATGGGGAAAGGAAATTGAATCTGTGCATCCGAAGAGAGTTGCTGTGTTTGAGGGCAGCTTCCTTGCTCCCATGGCATCATAAAGTTTTTATTTCTGTGTTGTAACATTGCCAGCAAAGTAATTAGAGTTTCAGGGAGGCTGTGGCTATTAGACACAGGATGAAGATGTGAGGCTAAGTTGAAGAGACAGTGCTCAATTAAGCCGAACAAAACATTAGTGGATCACTTTGGCTGTTGGGGGCCTCGTTTGGATTCAGGCGGCCAGATTCAATTCACACTTACCCAGCTGTGACATGTTTGCTTGTGTTAGAGCTGCTGAGAACAGGTGAAACACAGCGGCTGCACACAGCCAGATCGGCTGTCGAGATCTATTTACCTCAGAGATTCATGTTTCATGTCAGGCCCTAGAGAGAGCACACATCTGACCACTCAGAGGGCACAGGCTCTTTGTTCATTAATCTAATAGTGCATATTATGAGACATTTAAATAATTCCTAGCATTTAAAAGCTCATTTATGAGTGTAATGGTGTTCGACCAAGTGTCTGACCCTTGAAAGCTTTTTGCTAAAAATATTTCTTTAGATGTGAGACCATCGGGAGGTGATGTTTTCCTTTTAATTACTTTAATTTCTCAATGTAATAGATGATTAGCCACATGACACAACGGTGGTGAAGACCAAGTATGGGTGTTTGGAGGTTTTAATACTACAGTTCTCTAGTGAAATGTGAACACTCTGTGTTGTAAATTATCATTACTGGCTGTCAGTTGCACAATGATGTTTTTATCTGTTTTTCCTAAAACTCAGTGGAGTAAATTCCAAATATATAAAATGTACCATGTCTGTATTATATAGATATTTCACAGTGAAACATCCATTTACTCAAAATGTTGCAACTGCAGGGAAGTAAGTCGGGGTCCTGTTTCTGTGAGAAGGCCCAGGAACATTAACCAAAATAGGTCGAGCTGAAACTCTAAAGATAAGTTTGTTACACAATAAGTCCTGACGGGTGTTGACTCTAGCCTAAGTTACCTACTGTAGGTGCATGTTGTGTGTGCTCAAGGTTACTTATGCAGTTTTCGCACTGAAATCAGCAGATGTGTAGATCAGCTTTGGTTAACTGGAGTAGTTGCTAAAAAACAAATTTCTACACCTGCTATAAATTCTCTTTCCGGTTGATTTGTCCTGCCTGCATCAGCCTGCGCACTATCACAAGCTCAGTAGCACAGAGTTCAGTGACAGTGTTACTATGGCTACTGCGTTGCAATTAGTGCAAAATCTTAAAGCATTGTTAAGACAAAAGGAGACAGGTATGATGAAAAATAAAGATAAGCAGAAGTCGTGCATTTGTCTCTGATGGATGTAACTTGAACTTGATAGAATCTTTGCCTCTGAGATTGACCTGAGCTTTTGGCCATTTCATTTTAGATCTTCAGTTTGGGAAATTACACTTATACTTATAACACTTATACTTTTCTGGCTGGCTGTGTTTTAGGTCTCTAGTCCAAACAGTAGTCACCTTGTTGCGCTGTGTACCATACAGTACATGTAGGATTTACCACAAGGTCCATTACATCTTTGTGCTGTCACTGCACACAATAAAAACAAAAAAAAAAAAACGATGTAAAAGAGGTTCGAAATGAAATCCAAGTTTGTATTTGGCGAGTGGTGAGTGGTGTTCCACACTAGCGTACTACTGTATTATTGGTTACTTAAGTATAACACAAGTAATTTTCTCCCAATTTTCTGTATTGTAGCCCAAGTATTGTGATCTAATCTAAAAATATGTTTTGACCCAAATTAAAAATATTTTTGTTTGGATAACTTTAAGCAGATTAATTGAAGAGTAAAATTAAAACGTGTTTGTATCCTCTGTAGCTCATGGTAAAGTCGGTTTTGGAGACAGACAGTCTTCGTATCTTCCTTCCTTTAGTTTTGACACTTAACGTTAACAAAAACAAAAAAAAATAAAATAAAATAAACACCAGTGGTGAAACTAACAAGGGGAAAGTTTTCAATTGTTTAGTATACTATTTAATACTGGTTTAATACCTGACCCAAGTCAGTCAGGTTAATAATTCAGGTATTAATTTGTTGTGATGTTTAATTTTTTTTTTCACTAAGACAAATATGTTGCAGCATATAAATGAAAAGCATCTAATAAATTGTAAATATGTGCACAGCCTGGGCCCATACAGTATCTCTGGCCCTTCACATATATCCAGCGCTGAGAACCAAAATCTTCCTATAAACGCTAAATCCAGCCACTGCACTGCTACAGTAGGGAAACTATTGCCTCTCCACTGATTTATGGTTGCCTTGCTAATTACCTGCATGCCTGCACTGTGTAATCTGTTTTCAGGCCGAGTTGCTTTCTGTGACCTTTAGGCCCTCAGGTGTCTGCACTGCTCCTCCTGATGAAATAAAACGTTAAAGCTCATTATCTGTGGCTTTGTGATGTCCCACTGAGGTCAACAGCTCGATGAGAACAAGCACATGTACAGTATGGACACAAGCTGGCTGGCTCGCCCAGATGGACCAAAAACCATTAAGCAGCTGCAAACACAAACAGCCCCTGTGTGCGTGTTTGTGACTCGAAGAATTCTCTGTTTGAGTTTCTCAGTCCTGCATTATCCTGCAATGACTGAGCTCCACCATGCAAGAAAATGTCACTTTAAGTTAATTAAAGTAATCAGCGTGCTGGTTGCAGAGCATCCTAGCAATTTTTATCCCACTATGAGGTGTCAAAGTAAAGTAAGCAGTGTGCTGGTTGCTATTTCATGTCATCACTATGAAGACATGAAATATCCTTGTCTTTTTGTCGTTTATCTATCTCCAAGTAATTTCACTGCTTCACACGCCCGCCAGAAACAGTGAATAATCTTAATTAATTTGATCTGATAATTTTTTAGATATTTCCATCAGCAGCACATTGTGCTCTTAATTTGATTTGCACCTTCAGTATGGTAAAGAAACAAATGAAATCACAGCTCATTTGTCATGCTAATGGTGACAAAGTCCTCACATTAGGACTTTCTTTTATGTCAACCTGGTAATAATGACAGAAAAAGAAAATAACCCAATAACACCTTAAACTTTTTTTTTTGCACACATAAGTCACCGCATATTTAAGTACTACACAAGAGGAAACCTTTCCCTGCCCTCTCTTTGATGATAAAAGCAAGAGAAGATCATTCAACAACATGCCGTTCTCCCTGGAGGATGACTGTCTTACTCTGAACACAGGGATTCACAGCAGGCCCAAAACCTATTTCATTTCAACACAAGGGACAAGGTAAGAGGGGAGGAGGAGGAGGAATGAATAAGAGGAGGTGGCAGAGATAATGAGACAGTGAGCAGGTGGAGAGGGAGGGATGGTCACAGAATCGATTGAGGCTGTAAAGCTACTTCAGCAGGTTGGAGGTCAGTGGTTTGGTCACACAGCGATGTATCTGTAGATTTTGTTGATCTCACACAGCAGCCCAGCTCCTCGGCCCCTCTCTCTGGGATAAACAGTGGAGTCAGCAGCCTTTTTACTTGCAGATAAAACATGTTCTTAAAGTATAATAAAAGCTTAAATTTTAAACAGATTTGTATACATTTTCTATTGATAAAATTTATTCTATTTTTTACACTTTTTTAAATAGGAATAAAAGCTGTCAGTTGATTTCAGTCTGATTAGCACCAGAGTAGCTTAGGATATATCACGATTAATCATCATGAAGCATGATTGTAATTTATCATGATTAATTAAGATATATCAGAATTACGATTTATGACAAACTTTTTTCTATGACATATAGTATAACAGCATGCATTTCACTGTATCTATTTTAATTTGGGAGCAATACAATTTAAATGATAGAATTATTATTGTGGACACAGAAAGCCCTGTTGTCTTGTCACCCTTTCAATTTACAAGCTGAATGAAAATGATTGCTTACATTTCTGTGTTAAAGTATCACGGTCAGCCGTTTCCCAGAAAGTCCAATCACTGTAGCAGTAAACACTAGGCCTTGATCTGCACAAAGTGTATCTTCAGTACAGTATATGCAGAGTATGTGTGCCTGACCGGTCTGCCTGCGGTCCAGATCTGTCTGCCTCACAATGACCACAGTATGTTGAACAGCAGGAA